CTTTAATTTGCATAAATTTTAGAGAATTTTTCTCGATCTTTGTGCATTTATCATCGCACTTTCCATTTTAATCTAATTCTATTACAAAGTGTAGGACTTAATAATCAAATCACCCTATGATAACCATTTGTGATATTGTTAAGATGACTTGTCTAAATATTAAAATGCAAACATACTCATTTGGTCATTTTTGGGTGGAGTCCATATGGACTTGTATATAGAAATTCATATGATTTAGGAGAAATACTAGGAATGAAATGTTCAATTCCTGCAAAATAAATGAACATTTGAATTGTTTAAAAAAATTTCTATGTGTCAATCTTATCATATTATACCACTATATAATTTGAGGTTAGTACACATTTATTATATATATTGCTCCTCTTCACATTTATTATATATATTGCTCCCAAGAGGAGTTGGACGGACTTTCTACATGTAAGACCATTTACAATGGTTGAAAAACTCAACACCCACTTTTTCAATTCCCAACACTCCACATCATTTTCTCTTTCTTCCACCTAATAACTCAACACTCATTCAACTTTTACCCTCTCCAATGGTTTTTCACTCAACACCCTACCCCACCACTTTTTATTTTCATATTCTTATTTAAATTTTATTTTTATTTTTATGATTACATAAAATTACAATTATCGATTAAAATTAAATTAAAATAATAAATACTTAATAATTTATTTTTTAATTTTTTGTAATAAAAACAAAATTTATTTAAATAATTGGATACGATACAAATCATCTTAAATTAATTTAAAATACAACACACAATTAACGTAATTAGTACGTTACAAATAATTTAAAATGCAATACAACACACAAGTAACGTAATTAGTACGATACAAATAATTGGAAAATTGATTTGGATTTTGATAATAGTTGGGATTTTGATAATTGTTGGGATTTGGAAAATTGTTGGGATTTTGGTTAAATGGAAAATTAGCAGAATTTTGAGTGTTAAAATGATTATTGGGATCCATTTCACTAAAAAAAGACACTTAACTTCAAAATAAACACTAATAATAAAATTAAGATAGTGAAAAACTTAGTTTTTTTTTTCTATGTCCAAATCAAATGAACCAAGTCTCTATTTATAGAGAAAAAAAAATCATGAATTTTGGTTAAAAAAAAAAAATAATTTGCAACGAAATAATTGAGTTCAAAGTATTAAATGGATAAAAATCTGGTCAGCCAATCAAGCACAGCCACGTGGCTGCACTTATCCCTTTTCTCTTTCTCTCTCCGCGTGGATTAAGACCCACTCTCACCCCCAGCGAGTGGGCTACACGCGCCTGGCCCAGACCAATGAGGCGCTGCCACGTCATGCCCTTGGTCAGCTTCAATTGTGTTGAGTTTTCTCAACACCTCTCTCTTCCAACACACACTCAACACCTCTCTCTTCCAACACACACTCAACACCTCTCTCAACACTCATTGGAGGAGATTTTGTATGTTGAGTTCAAACTCAACATATCCATTGCACATGGTCTAAGGGGCGCTGCATTGCCACCGGGACAATTACTTCTTTTGTGTTTCAATTGCAATCAAATCTATATAATACATCGTTTTTACTGTATGCTAATATAGTGCATATTTTCTAATGATGCTATTATATGCTATTATAATATGCATCTAATGTATATGATTCATCTTTTCTATTGATACTATTATATAATTATCTAATTAATTAATTCAAAAAATAATAACATTTAGATAATTTTTAAAAAATATTAAAATATATCATTTATTTTAAAAATACACATTCATAATAATAGTATTCATATTATATATTTTAATACTATTTAATACTATTTAATATATATATTCTTAATGCTATTATTATGAATGTATATTTTTCATCTTTGTATTGAAATATATAACTAAAATGAAAGTATATATTTATCTAAAGTGTTAATGAAAAAATATTTACATAAAATAAAAAAAATATAATTTTAAAATGAAAGTGTTATTGAAAAGATTTTACATCATTTTAATTATATATTTATCGAAAGTGTTATTTAAAAGATATTTACATAATATTATGTAGTTGAAAAAATTTATAAATACAAAAATTAGTATTTATGCAATATTATGTAATTGAAAAAATATTTTATGAATATTTATGTTATTGAAACAATTTATTTTTATATTTAATTACATAAATTTGATCATTTTCTGAATTAATTAATCAAATAATTATATAATAATATCAATAGAAAATATGAATGATATATATTAGATGAAAAACATACATTTATATTTTAATACAGTGTCGTAATTATATATTTCAATATAAAAATGAAAAATATACATTGATTATAATAGCAATATATATATATATATATATATATATATATATATATATATATATATATATATATATATATATATATATATATATATATATATATATATATATATATATATATATATATATATATATATATATATATATATATATATATATATATATATATATAATAAATAAATATTTTAATACTATTAAATAGTATTAAAATATATAGTATGAATACTGTTTTGGATTGGGTCTGCCTGTGGCCCAATCACCAGCGAGGCCCAATCCAAACTTTACAACATACTATGCTGAGCATTAGACTCTCTGACATACCCCGATCATGGGTGTCTGGTCGAGTACAATTGTGTTCGTCGGTGCCCGCGAAGAGCGTCCCCGACGAGAAACATCTCAATTCAAGCCCTGCTCGAGCACCCTCCTCGTAGGGCAGACTCTCAACCTCTCTGAATATCTCGGAGTCCTCAGGGTCCTGAGAAGATCGCGTCTTCACTCCCTATTTTGCGGAGAGCATCATCCAGGTAGGGGACCACATGCATATCCCCACTACACACATAGAACCTGGCAGTCCCTTTGTTGGACCTGTTTAGTTAGCCCAATAAAGGGACCTTGGCCCAGCGTTGGGGGCTATAAATACTCTCTATTTCGAGAGAGTCAGGTATTCATTTCATACGCACCAATATACTTGCTTGCCTGCTCATTTCGTCTCTCAGTTTGTCATCAGAGTTTCTTGCATGTACCCCCCCATCTCCTTCAAATTCAGTTCGAAGTCAGCTGTGACGGTCCAACTCTGATTAGGTATGATCAAATACTATTATTATGAATGTGTATTTTTAAAATAAATGATATCAATTGTCAATTGTGGATGACAATTGTCAAATAGAGGTGTCGGAGACAAGTAACAATTTTCTTTGATCACGACAATTTTTTTAAAAGTTCTTGATAATGACATGTGAATAATAAATAGATAGCACAAGTTTTATTAGTTAAATGTATTAAATAAAGGATATTAAAATCGTGATAGTTAAAGATGTGAAAGTTTTTGAAATTGTGGACTTGAAGATGTGAAAGTATAAAAGCTCGTTTCATCCCGTGCTTAGATTTTTATCTTCTAGTTTTGATCAAATTAACTGTAAAATAAATAAAAGTATGTCTTGACGCATTGAGACAATTCACACACATGCGCACATACACACTTACGTACAAAATATTTTCAAACCTCTTCTCTTTTGATAAAATTTCTTAAAACATAAGCTCTTAATCAACTACGAAGATAAAATATACTCTCTAATCAAATAAGAGGTTCACCTAATCAATTAAATCAAAGTGTTATGCTTCCTAATTAATTAAGAAGGCTAATAACCAATTAAATGACATATAATTTTAACCTTTTCTATTTTATCTTGATTAACTAACACATATGCTTAATCGATTAACTCGTTAAAATGATATAGACAGTTTCTTTTTCTTTTAACCAAACTTTTTTCTATATAAATGATGTTTCTCCTTATTTTACAACACACCGGTTTCTTAACAGAAACCTTCTTCTATCTTTCTCTCTTTCATTCTTCTATAAAGTTCTTTTTCACTAGAATTGTCTTAGTGACAAGAGATTGAAAAACTTCATCGGAGAGTCATTGTACTAATATTATGTTGAAATGGTTTATTCAATGATATAGTTCCCTTGTGATTTCTTTGTAATAATTTTATAGGTTACAAGCTTAATCTATGCAAATTTTAGGTGTAGGTTATTGAGACAAATTTGTGTAAAAAATCTAGTGAATGCTATTGAGTTTAACATGTGAAAAATTTATGTATAGATTATTGAACCGGATCTATATAAAAGCTCGTGAAAGTTATTAAGTTGAACTTGTGAAAAAACATAGTTTAAGTTTTAAGCTAGACTCATGTAAAATCTATGTTTGTTTGTATAAGTTTTTTGAATTCATCACATACAAAAGTTCAAATTATTTTGAAAAATTGTTTGGACTGAACCTATAAAAAAACTAAAATTTGATCTTAATAAAAATCTCAAGAGAGAATTCTTAAAAAGTAGAATAAGGTCATGGAAACCTAACTCGTGTTATAAAATTACTTATTAAAGAAAATAATATAATCACATCAAATCTTTCTTTTAACAAAAGGTTTTTTATGAACAAATTCCACCACTTTATGGTGAAATGCTTACATAAGAAAATCAAAATTGAAAATATTTTTAAATATAGTTAACTTTGATTTGTGAAATTATGTTGAAAATAATATGGTATTTTAGTTTATTAGTAATAAATTAAAAATTATTACTAAATAATCTTATTTTTCTTTCATCGTAATGGTTGAGTCCTTTCCTCCATTCCGTTTAACCTAGCAAATTCAAAACCGCCGCTGGTTCGTACCGTAATTTCCCATCACTCCTACTATACCGTGATAGCCGCCGTGTTGTTCTCGTGAAATGAATCTCCGGCAGCCGCGACAGTGATTCGCGCCGCCGACCTGGTATCACTGTAGCGGCCAACGGCCACAGGCCGCGATTAACTACCTAGGTTATCTCAAAAGGGTCCTTTCTGAATGGCTGTGTTCAATTCTTCAACTAAATTATTAGAGTCCTTTGAGATTGTTGTGTAATAGATATCAAAGGAAAAGTTTTGTTTTCAATTTTTGTTGTTGTACACTTATGGAGGTGGCTATAGTTGAATCAGTAGGGAGTATTCCTCTGCAAGACCCACCGGAGGAAGAGTTCTCGTCTGCTGACTTGACTTGGACCAAGTTTGGGAATGGTGAGCACCATGATGAGGTTGCTCTTATTCCTTATGATAGAGTTGATGCTTTTATAATTGGCGAGTGCTCTAATGTATTGTGTCCCACTCGGTTTCATATCGAACGAGGAAGGAAACGGGCTATTGGTACCTTGAAGGAGTACAAGGATGATGAATATCTTGAGTACAGGCTGTGAGTTTATGTCTTAATTCTTACACTTCATTCTAAATTATTATGATCAAGTTTTTCCTTTTTTATGTATTATAGTTTTTACTCTTTTGGTTATGAGATGAGATGTTGGATTGATGGAGCAAACTTCGGGTGCGCAGACCGGAGGCTGGCCTGCAAGGTTAGCACTCCGCCCAAGTTAGTGAGAGAATACGTAGTAACGTGAAAGTGAGAATGAATTTGAATACCTGAAATATCACACATTCCTCCTTATATAGTGTAAGTGGTTAAAACCGTCCACGCGAGAGGAGAGGTGTTGTGCGGGTGGCCGTTGGATCTAATCATACGGTGATCGACGCGCCTGGAGGTTGGAATCATTCTCTCTTGGTGGAATGAGGGACCTCCTACTCCATGCGCTCCTTTGCTTGATGTCGCTCACGGGCCTTTCGCTATATGGCCCATAACAGAAATGCTTATCTTATCATGTTGGACTTTGTTCTTAGTGAAATGATGTAATGTTTTCCTTTTAGAAAATTTGTCTTTGTTAAGTTTCCTAAGGTTACAAATTTCATAAGTTTGTATCATTTTCCTTTTGTTGTCCGGAATTTAGAATCCATAGCATACCAGCAAACTAATATGGTGATACTTAAGAAGTCATGGGCCTAACCAGGATTCCAATTCTTATGTCTTCATGTTGACTTTTTGTTCTATGTGAAGGTACTGGTGCTCGTTTGGCCCAGAAAATTATGGAGAGGGTGGAGAGATACTTCCTAGTCGGAGATATCGACTTAATACTCGAAATCGTGCTGCTAGACCTCAATCGATGCGTGGTTGTACCTGTCATTTTGTTGTCAAACGGCTTTATGCTCGTCCATCACTTGCGCTTATTGTATACAATGATAGGCGTCATGTTAACACAGCTGGATTTATCTGCCATGGGCCACTTGATAGGGATGCTATTGGCCCAGGTGCCAAAAAAATTCCATACATATGCAATGAAATTCAGCAACAAACAATGTCCATGATATATCTCGGCATTCCAGAAGAGAATATTTTGGAGAAACACATCGAAGGAGTCGAGCGTTATTGTGGTTCAAATGCAAAAGCCAATAGCCTTGCTTCTCAGTATGTTCACAAGCTAGGCATGATTATCAAGAGATCTACTCATGAGCTTGATCTGGATGATCAAGCTAGCATCCGAATGTGGGTCGAGCGCAATCGAAAATCTGTATTTTTTCATCAAGATACTTCAGAGTCTGACCCTTTCATCCTAGGAATCCAAACAGAATGGCAGCTGCAACAAATGGTTCGTTTTGGTCATCGTAGTGTTGTTGCAACAGACTCGTCCTTTGGTGTAAAGAGGCTTAAAGTAATTATTTTTCTTTCTTGACTTTTAAGTTACTCTAGATCTAAAAGAATAATAATTATCTTGTTCACATTGCTGTATATTTTCAATCAACCTAACTTAGTTATCTTTTTCCTTTTGTCAGTATCCCTTGTTCACACTACTTGTTTTTGATTCAAGACAACACGCACTTCCTGTCGCATGGATTATTACACGTAGCTTTGCAAAACCTGATGTGTCTAAGTGGCTGAAAGCCTTAATTGATCGAGCTCGTAGTGTTGAGCCTGGATGGGAAGTCAATGGATTTTTAATTGATGATGCTGCAGCTGATATTGATCTTTTGAGGCAAGATTTATTGCTTCAAAACCTGAGTTATTTAAAGTTTATAGACGTGTTCAAGTGTCTTACACCAATTGTTTGCTTTTACAGTGATATATTTGGTTGTCCAGTCCTATTTTCACTATGGCGCATTCGTAGATCATGGCTAAGGAATATTGTTAGGAAATGCAATAATATTGAAGTTCGGAGGGAGATTTTTAAGCGTCTCGGAACATTAGTGTACAGCATTTGGGGAGGCACTAATACATCAGTTGCATTAGAACAATTTATGTTGGATTTTGTAGACCAAACTGATTTCATGGAATATTTCAAAGTCTCCTGGCTGCCCAAGATTGGTTAGATCCTTCTCTTTTTTCTCTATTGCATACACATAAAAATACATGTTTGGGTTTTACAACTGAAATATCTGTCATTTTGCTTCAGAAGTTTCGGGTGTAGTTGGTTAGTCATTGATGATATGTTATTGTTAAATAGTGTTCTGAATCATGGATTGCGGAAAATAAAAGTTTGTTCAATTTTCGCTACGCAAAATATAGCGCTGCTATTTGACAACATTTTTTACTATATAGCGCATCACATAAGAATAACAATTTGTTCGAAATCCACCATGGTATAGGGCTATAGCTGCTATTTGACAACATTGACGTTAACTTGTTTGTTGTGTCCTTACCCTGTCTTTCCACTTTTTTTTTTAGAAATGTGGCTTTCGACAATGAGAAATTTTCCACTGGCAAGCCAGGAAGCTTCTGGAGCATTAGAAGCCTACCATGTTAAACTGAAAGCGAAACTTTTTGATGATTCACATCTGGGAGCGCTGCAAAGAGTAGATTGGTTAGTTCACAAGTTAACAACCGAGTTGCATTCAAGCTACTGGCTTGATCGTTTTGCTGATGAGAGTGATTCTTTCCAGAATGTGAAGGAGGGATATATTGCTTCTACATCATGGCATCGGGCACTTCAAATTCCCGACTCTGCAGTCACCTTGGACGATAAGAACCAGCTCTTTGCCAAAGTTGTGAGCCAAAAAGACAACAACTTAACACACATAGTGTGGAATCCGGGATCTGAATTCTCATCATGTGATTGTTCTTGGTCATTGCAAGGTAACCTCTGCAAGCATGTGATCAAAGTAAACATGATTTGTGAAAATCTTAAAGGTTGTCAACCATCAATGTCTTTTCGGTCATTTGACGAGGTTTTGACAGATCTAAGGAGAAAACCCGTAGACGATTCATTTGAGTTGGACTTGTCATTGGCTTGGACCCACCAAATGCTAGATCACATCCAAAAATTTGTTGAATTGAATAATTCTCCTGATATTGGTACTATAGTTAATAATATGCCTTTGAAATGGGTTTCAAAGAAAGGTAGAACCTATGTTGGCAAAAATTCTTCAATTTCGGCTGCTATTCCTAGAACCAGCGACACAAAAAGTATTCTTATATATAAGAAGAATCGGAAGCGGAAAAGATTGTCACGACTAAGATGACCGGTTCCATTGATTGCAAAATGTATTTCATCCTATTACCATCAAATGAAGATATCGAAGATATTGCTATGAGTATGGACATGGTTGGTAGTTGGAGATAGAATGAAGGTAACAAAAGCAACTCTGGTGCTTATGTTTTGGAAGTCATTCTCTAATTTTCTGAGTCATATGCTAGCATAAATATTCATTTATTGAATTTTTTATTGTATCATCTCCATTTTTTAAATTTGAAGTTCTTTCAAGTGCTTGGTTCACTGAGGAATAGATGTTTTTGTTCTTGAATTTTCTTATGTACATAAAAACGGTTGACATGTTATTGAAGAGACTTTTGAGCTTAATTCCTGTGTTATCTATGAGTGGTCCTCAGAAGAGTGGAATATTGGAAATTAGCTGGTACCAATATTTGGTTAAAGATGGAAAATATCTTGCTGTATTTGCACAAAGAAATAATTTGACAGCACTTTTGTCAACATATATGCTTTGATGCTACTAATTATTTGTACACAATATGTATAGTTTGGATGAGCTAAAAAGCACGTTACTGAATTTATTTATCTGGATTTAGTAACAATTTATTTATCTCGGGGAAAGTTACACTCACCTCTCTCCCGAGGTTTGTTAAAATCACACTGATCTTGATTTGGAAGAATTAACATGGCACCCTCTCTTATACATGACACCCTTCAAATGGTATAAAAAGATCAAAGTACTCTGACCCAAATATTTTTTAGAAATTTCAAATTTCCGTGACCAACTGGAAATTTTCAAAACTCTGTAGTGATATCGGAAATTTCAAGGCGAAACCTGAAATTTAGTGAGATACTAAGGAATTTCTGCTAGATTTACGAAATGTCTGGTATTTTGAATCGGAATTTTCAAAACTTTCGTTATTTTCGTATCAGAAATTTTGAAATTTCCGGTGTAAATATTTTCCTTTCGTACCAGAAATTTTAAAATTTCCCGGACTTTAAAAGATAACAAAAGATTTGAAATTTTCGGTAGTTCAATTTTTTTTTGAAAAATACCGGAATTTTAGAAATTTCCGGTAATTCATATTTTCCTAACTTTTTCTTATTTTGCAGTGAGGACTAGGGGCAAAGACGATACCGTTGCGGCCAGACAGATTGATAGAGCGGAAGTTCAGGCCCAGACTGATGAGGCATAGGCTTCTGAGCTACGGATTCACCGACGTCCTCCGACCGGTTTTCGTTAGAAACGGATGGCTGAGCAACAGATTTAGTTCTGCACACCTGCCGTCGGGGATTGAGAGTTTTCATTGTTGAGGAGCCAGCTTCTACGGAGATACATGCTTTTGTTCCTGTTGTTGAGCCAACTGCTGCAGAGGTACATGTCTCTGTTCCTGTCGTGGAGCCGACAACTGAGAAGGTTATTGAACATGTACATGTTCCTGTTCCTGTTGTGGAGCCGGAGGTTGAGCAGGTTGTGGAGTAGGAGGTTGTGGTTAAGCGCGTTGACGAGGTGTCCTCCACTAATACAGACACCACGATTCGTGCGTCTACGGAGTCATCAGTACACACAAATGAAGCATTTCCTAGAGGACCTTCAGACAGGTCTGTGCTGATAGGATTTGTTGACTATGTCGCCTACAGGATATGGCATGACGATGTATATATTTGGTTTTCTTTAAGTGCATAATTTTTATTTTTGCTTACAAGATGCTTACAAGATTTGATGTATAATATTTTGTTTTTGCTTCTTACAGGAGCGTCCCGTGCTGAAGGTCGCTTCTCATAGTTCGAAGTTGAATAACTTCTCTGAGAGTCCGATGCCTGAGGAGGCCATGAGTATAGTTAGAAATTTTCATCTGCTGGAGTTTGCTGAGTGCTCCATGACCATGTTGGACGCCTTCCTGTTATATGTTTTTGTTGATAGGTGGCACCCAGAGACATCATCTTTTCATCTTCCATCTGGAGAGATGACCGTCACATTAGATGATGTCGACCAATTGTTTCATATTTCGGTTGTTGGTACATTCGTCACAACAGTATAATTAATCAGGCGACGACGGTGCACATGGTTGTGGATGATTTGGAGGTGTCTGAGGCGGACATGCTACAGGAGTTTGGTGAAACTCGGAGATTTCATCTTCGGATGTCTTGGCTGAGGAAGTTGTATGCCAGTCTTGTGGAGGCACGTAGGTACCAGATTGCCGCTAGGGCATACATGTTACATCTAGTGGCATGTATTTTCTTTGCGGACAAGTCTGGAGTTTACATTGATCACTCTTCTGTTATCGGAATCAGGCAGCAAACCATTCAACATTTCTTTCAAGGTGGCAAGAGATTTGGAGCCATCTAAAATCTTGAACTCAACAACATGTTGCATCCGTTGTAATACACTTCTGTATTAATCAGATAATCAGGAAGAGGTATTTTTTGAGATGTCTTACCCTATAACCTGAAACCCCTATTTATACAAATGGTGATGCATTCTAGACCACACAAATGTGTCGGTGCAATCAGAACCCTCAAAATATGTCGGTAAAATCTCGACCGTTGAAAAAACTTGAAAATAAAACCTGTCGAAAATTTCAGTATAACTGAAATTTCCGATAATGCCACGTAAATTTGAAATGTCCGGTTTATTGGAAATTTCAAATACACTACGGAAAATTTGAAAGGAGTGCACCGGAAATTTAGTCTGAAGATGGTTTGTATCTCATCAAGAGCAAAACTAAAATGGGGGGAGGTGTTGACATGTTTAATTTAAGGGGTGACATATTAATTTCTCTTCGATTTGGTAACAAATTTTTAAAAACAGTGAAGGTGTAACAAATGAAAATTATTAGTCGGTTAAAATTGAAAATTAATATATTTTATGGACCGATAGCTGTTCTATTAATTTGATACAATATAAAATGTATTTACATACACATGTAAATTTGAAATGAATTTCTTAATTGTAAAATGAATAATGATCATATAAACTCAATTGTATTAAATATGTATTGTGTTGATAGTGATTCGTGAGATGAAAAATTAATTTATACGATTATGGAGTATTATTCAATTTGATATGATATAAAATTTATATAGATACACTTGTAAATTTAAAATAAGTTACTTAATATTAAAATGAATAATGATCCTATAACTTCAAATAGTGTTGATTACAAATAAAATGGCTATTATGCTGATAATGACCCGTAAGATTGAAAGTTAGCTATCTGCACGACTATGGAGCATTATCCAAATTGATATGGTGTAAAATGTATTTAGTTATACATGTAAATTTGAAATGAGCTACTTAATCGTAAATTAAACAATGATCATATAAACTAAATTGTATTACATAATCGTACAAAAAAAAGGAACATGTGAGATGGAGAAGGAAAAAAATAAGAAAATTTTGACATTCAAAAATAAAGATTTTATCTTTTAAATAAAGAAAATTGTTGATTAAAAAAAAAGACAGTATCTTGATAATGACCCGTGAGAAAGTTGAAAAAGTAAAAAATAAATAAATGTGATCGAGTCACGTGTCACGTGTGATTTATTTAGAAAGGGAATCATTGACTCATTAGCAAATTACTAAATAGTATTTAGATATACCTAAATTTAAAATGAATTACTTGATTGTAAAATTATTAATAATAATATAAACTCAATTATATTAAATAATCATAACGAAAAAGAGTTAGTAAAATGGAAAAAGAAAAAAAAGATTTTAACATTTGAAAAAAATAATTTTGTGTTTCAAATGAATGTAATTGTTAATTAAACTAAAATAAATATTTTATTGATAGTGAACCGTGAGAAAAAGAATTTTTTTGATATTTGAAAATAAAAATGCCGTGTCTCAAATAATAACAACTGTGAATTAAAATAAAATATGTATTTTATTGATAGTGACTCATAAGATAGAAAATTAGTTGTGTGTACGACTATTGCGTATTATCCAAAATAAATAAATAGAATTGCTTAAAATAGATTAATTAGTATTTTTAGTAACAATAAATAAATATTGAGTATTATTAGTATTTTTAGTAATAATAAATAAATAGAATTGCTTAAATATATCGTAAAAACAAAATTAAATGTCAATATTATATACATTTATACACCAATAAATATTTAGTATAATAATTATATACTATAATAATACATATTAATATATTATAAATAGTTTTAATATGCATAAAAAGTATAAATTAGTAATTATTAGAATGGTAGAAAAGATAAAATAATAAAATAAAAAGGGAAAGAAATATAAAAGAAAAATGAGTTTAATTTGAAAGAAGAATAAGATGATGAGTGAAAGTAAAGTAGAGGAAAAAATAAAAGTTGAAAAAGTGTCAAGTGAGAACTTAACACTTGGCAACATTTAGTTGAAGTAAAGTGAATTAATTAGAAGGTTATGTTTTGCTATTTTAACCTTTTACAAAGTGTAAACAATTTTAAAATATTGGTAGTTTGCATGTATGTTTTATTAATAATTATATACTCCATCTGTTTTCAAATGACTGACTGTCATTTTCACTTTTCAATATGACAATGATTACTATTTTTCAATTGTGCCATTTAATTATTACTATATACTACTTTCAATACATTAATGAGGTTAATTTAATAAAAGTATAATATCTCGTGACAATATTATTACATTCTTAAATTTGTGTGTAAAAACCTTAAACGACATTCATTTTAAAATAGAGGGAGTAGTTGATTAGAAATTTGCAGTTTAACCAAGGAGCAAAACACCATCCCGAAAGAGGTAAGGCTATAACTTAGCCCGAAGAAATCACCATCAATAGAACAAAATTATTTAAAAAAATCTTCAAGAACACCCCACCACAAGGCTTAAGACACCCAATCCACTATTAGTTCAGACAAAAAATAATGTTCTCAAGTCTGCCATAGAAACTACAAAAGTTATTGCATATCAACTAAGATATCACTTTCATGCTCGGAAAATACTTGTATCTTCCACATCCTTCCCTCTAGTAGAGGCACCTAAAAAATAATATCATTCAGAAAATT